GGCAATGTGCTCTGTTGCTTCGAGTGATTGTTTGCCCGACCGCGAGCCTGTACGCATGTTGGACACCAGCTCCTGTACGGAAGGGCCACGTTGTGTTCTAGTATCTCTTGTGGTGTGGGCTGTTTCGGTGCTTGTGCTGCTCGTGCTTTTCTTCCCTGTTGCTGTTCTTCATCGTCTGACTCCAGTTGTGCCGGGTACTGTTTCTTGTTCTTCGAAGTTTGTCCAGCCGGTCCAAGGTGTGTCGTGTGTCTTTGATTGCTCAGTTGTCCATTCGTCCTGTGCTACCTTGATGTTGCCTCCTGCTGCTGGTTGTATCTTTGTTAGCCTGTACGTGCTCAACTTCGAGACGTCCGGTCCATCGTCTGTTTGCTCTGGTATGTAGTAGGATGCGCGTGGTTGTACGTGGGCTTGCTTCCAGTATGGTCCTTCTCTGTACCAGTAGTCTCCACCGGGTTGTAGTCCCGATGGATGAGGGATTCCTTGTCCTGTCCCAGTCGTCTCTGACTGCTGCTGTTGTATTGTTTGTCGTGGTTGCTTTCCTGTTATCCTCCTTTGTGGTTTGTATTTATTACTTGTGGTGTGACTTTTGATGTTGTGATCTCTTCCTGTTGCGATTGCTGCTGCCTTGCCGCCAGTTGCTGTTGTAGTGTGTCTGGCAGTGTTGTACCTTTCTTTCACCTGAACACTGTCTCTCCTTTCCACAGTGTTGGCTGTGCCTGGTTTGGATTGTCGAAATGTTGGTATCGATCCTCTGTCGTCCTTGTTGCGCCGTTCTCTCCTTTGATCGTTGTTCTTCTGTAGTTCTCAAGTCTATCTGTCGAAACCGGGCACTGTGTTCGTGTTGGTGTGCACATTGTCTTCCTGTATTGCCGATGTGCTCTGACGAGCTCTCCTTGGCTGTTGAATTGCCAGTAGTCTCCTGCATATCCTGTGTGCTGTGCTCCTTGAGGTGTCAGTGTGGTTGTTGGTGCTATCATCGCCACCTGTCCTTGTTCTGTGTTGTCTACCTTCAATTCTGTTCCTCGTGGCAGTGTTGTGATCTCTGCTTGTAGGAAGAGTAGTCCATGTGACCGTGTGATACTGCTGTCGAAGCCCTTGTCGTGATGTATCCTTGGATTGTTTTCCAGCACAATCTGGAATCCTTGTTCTATCATTCTTGTCACTGATAGTATGGGTTGTTTGATGTCACACACGTAGAACGGTGTGACAATGCGTTGTCCGTTGATGTTGTTCATACAAACCCATTTGTATCCGTGTAGCTTGATTGGCTGGTTTGTCACTGTCCTCAACTTGGAACTCTGTTGCAAACCATGGTGGGCAGACATGTGTGGCTGCACCACTGTCGATCACGAGATCGATGTAGCTGTTGCTTGAGCCTTCTTTGCTGTTGTACCGTTGCTGTAGCAATGATCACTTCTTCAAGTCCAGAGACAATCAAAGGCATCTGTTCATTGCCTTGTTGCAGTGCTAGTTGTTGCTGATGGGTATGCAACTGTGTCTGGTCAATGTGGTGCCAATTTCCATCGTAGTGATTGTTGTGATACCAGTCATCTGTGACGTCGTTGTCTTCCATGTTGTTGTTGTCATAGTTGTAGATGGCCACTCTGCATTGCTTGGCCATGTGTCCTGGTTGACCGCATCTGTAGCATCCGTTTGTGGCTTGCTTTCCTTTTGTTCCTTTGCCTCCTTTGCTGTAGTTGTTGTGTCCTTTACCTTTGTGACATCCTTTTCCTTTTCCTTTGTTGTTGTATCCGCCTTTGAACGGATTTCCCTGTCCTATCGGCTGGTTGTATCTGTTGTCTCCTTTGCCTCCTTTGTGATTGTTGTAGTTGCCGTAGCCGCCGTAGCCCTTTCCTCTGTTGTATTTTCCTGTTCTTTCCTTTTCCTTTCTTGCCCTTTCCTTTGTTGTACCATGTTGCTCCTCTGTCCATTGGTGCTGGACCTTGGTTGTCACTGCTCGTAGCCGCCGCTTGTAGTTTGACGAATTCTGGTGCTGCTCTGTGATACTCCACAACCAGTGATCTCATTTGTGCGTAGGTTGTGATATTGCTGCTTGTAGTTGCAAATGCTGTTGTAGTGGACCTTTTGTCTCGTTGAGCAGGATTGCAATCTTGATTGCATCCGGTAGTAGTGTCCTGTTGTCTTGTTCGTACTTGGCCAGTTGAAACTCCCATGTTGTAAAGCTCTCTTCGAACTTGTTTTCGTCCAGTTGTGGTTTGAGTAGTTTGGTGAGGTAACCGATGCTCCTTGTACCAAGTGGCAGTGCGTAACGTAGGTGTAGTTGTCTCCATGTCTCGAAACCATTGCCGAGCATGTTCTGTCTGCGTATTGTTGACGCTGCTCCGTCACATGTGTTGACGAGCAGGAAGTGTAGATCTCCTGAGTTGTAGCCATCGGTCTGCTGTGTCCTGATCTGGTGCGGCTTGTTCCAGTTGGTCGCTTGTGATTGCTTGTGCTGATTGTTCCGCTTGACTCAGTAGTCTGTTGTATGATGACTCTTGCAAACCGAGGTATGCTGTCATCTTGTACTTCCATTCTTCGTATGTGGTGTATTCGCCATTGAATCGTGGTGGTGATATTCTGTACTTGTGGGCTCCTGACAGTTGCTGTTGGAGTTGTTTCTTGCGCGCTCCCCTGTGCCGCCATCGTCACTTACTGTGCTACTGTGTACTTTGGTTGGTTGGATCTTTCCCAGGTGTGGTGATGCTTGTAGTCAGTTGTGCTCCGCTACCATGTTAAACTGAATGCTACCTGATTGCCTGATGTGAAAGACCTGTGATGTGTATCAGCGCGGCTGTAGTCTCTCCAATTTTGTCTGGGCAGATTGTAGGCTCAAGGCCTTGATTGTACAGCCACGGTGAGACCAAGCTGTACTACCGTGACATGTATCCAAGGCCATGTATACTCTTAACAATATATGAAGATTTGTCTGCATGGGCCGGGCCGAGGCCAGTTGCTGTTTTGCTTGACAGTCGAGCATGAGGTCAGGTTGAACGGTTGCGAAGTTGCAAGCTGCATTGCGCCCAGCCCAGGGCCTAGCCAGTATCAGGATGTTGTCGGGCTTTGCTTTGCGTTTGTCACCTTTTTGTTTGCTTGTTTTGCCAGCCCGGCCAGCCCTCTCTTCTCAAGCAGGCGCCGCTCAATGGCGTTTTGCTGCGCTCTCAGGCAAGATTAACACTCACAGGTGTGCGTGTGGGTTTCCATAGGCGCTACACAGGGCCACCATGACTGTGGCACAACTGGTCGCGTTGCAGGTCGGCTATGTTTGCTCACGTTTCTGTGTAACACGCGCAGTGATACTACGTGCAAGCTGAAACTGAAACACTGATGCCGTGCATCGAGCGCTTCTCGCAAAGGAAACATGTGTTCACCGTTCAACCGTTCAACCCAACCACCTAACACGCTTTTGAGACACAGTTTGTTCGCTGCTTGCCTTTTGCAACTTGTTCAATGTTTTGAAGCAAACAACTGGGGTTCGCTCTGACGGGACTGGTGATACCTCGGGCAGCTCACGGCATTGATGAGCGAAGCGCACCGATAGGAGTGTTTTTCACCACAAGTGGCGGTGAAAACTCACAGCCTGCGCAGGGCTGCCGAGCTGTCTTGGGATCAGTGGCAGGCCTGTGCACGCACAGGACTGCCAGCAGTCTGAGGATCAGTGGTAGGCCTGTGCATACGCACACTTCCAGTCATCTCAACTTGCGATTTCATCGGGCGCCATGAGAGCAAAACATGGAACCTTGTGTTGGCGTTGCTGCTGCTGCTGCTGCCTCGCCACAGATAGAACAAAAAAACCTTGTCACGCTAAACCTGCCCCCGTCAAGTGACCCGTTGATGTGCTTTCAGGCGTCCCTTACTCAAAAAACCATCAACACCAAGAAAACTCATACGATTGAAAAGGGCAAAGTTGGGTAACATTTTTTGTTCCCAAAGGCCTGGCCAAGAAAAAACTAAAAATACTATCTTAAACAACAGCCAGATGAATCCCAAAATGCAACCATGCTGACCAGGAAGGAAGAATCTGAGATCTGGATGATAGCAGGTGCACATGGTTTGGCACGCTGCGCTTTGGCGACAGGTGTAGCAACAGCACAGCAAGCAACAAAGTGATGCCAGGGCCTACCGAGAGCCCCGGACTCGTTTGATCAGGGGTGATCAGCGAAGGATTCTTTGACAAGCGGGGCTGTTGTGTCCACCCGCTCTAGCTGTTCGGCGGTATTCAAGGGAGCAGCAGCTGCGGTCACAAGCGACTGTCCGCCCCACCGCTACTGACTGCAGTTGGATGGACTGTTGCAAAGGGTCGCACCATGTTTGTGTTCTGGCAAGGGGACGACTGCGGGAGCCAGTGGCCTTGAAAACTGGCGGCCCAGCCAAATACCAAGCAATAAGTCGCTACACATAGTGCGCGCCAGTACTTCACCATGCGCTCACCGCGGCCTCCATCAGAGTGCTGCAGCGCAAGGTCAGAGGGCTCACGCACTCCAAGCCTGCGCCGACGCCAGCCACAGCGCCCAGACCCCGAGCACATCCGCTCGCGAACCACGGACTCACAAAACACGCCGCCTGCCACGAAAATGCAAGGCGTTGAACGAGGTGTTGAGTGAAGCTGTTGAGCAAGGCACAATGCAGCCCACTTGCATGGCAGGAGTCCCAGCGTTCATTTCCCGTCGCCCTGTTGTCAGACGGCGTATCAGGTCTGAGGTGGGCAACGGCGGGCTCGACAAGTGCGCAGCGCAATGAAAACAATTCTTTACAGCCGATTCATCGAAGGGTATCCTACGTGGCTGTGAGAGGATTCCGAAGCTTTGGTGACAATGTGCTCGACAGTTCGAAGAAGCAGGATGTGCGGCATGACTCTCCCTGCAGTGTGGACAATTCACAATCAATGCTGCCTCGCCGCGCTGTTGAAGACTCTGGAGATGTGTGCCCAAACAAGTCAAACAGAGTTCCCCCCCCACGCAGGGCAATTGCAAAGCAGCTTAAGAAACTAAGTTGATGGCTCCCGGCGTCTCTGCGAGGATCTCGCCCAACCACCAATTGAGTGTGATCTTTGCCTGCAGGAGAACACGGCGCGCAATTTCCAAACGCGAAACTTCCTGCAGTTGCTGTTGGCAATCAGCGAACGGTCGCGTGTTTTGTGTGTTTGTTGGTTGAAAGCTGATGCCTTTCTTGGTTTAAGGCGCCTGTGAGAGCCCGCGTGTTACAAGATAGGTGCGTGAGACATCTGCCAGGAAATGGGGGCGCAAGATTTCGGCAAACACCCAGGCCTCTGTGGCCTGTGGGTCCTCCGCCTGTGGGTCCTCCGGACGGTAGAGCTCCAGAAGGGAGCAATACGCCTCCAACGTCTCAGATGTCAATCGGAGAGTCTTCGATTCATCTTGATCCCCTTCAGGCAAAGGCCCACAAGACTGGTTGACATGCGCAGGGCCTAGCTTCCATTGAAAAGCAACTTGCTCCCCGCCCCTTACGCTTCACACGGCAAAGTCAATTGTCCCAATGTTTGCGCAAGGGAAAAGGCTCCGCCAGCAAAAGACAAGCCGAAGCCTAGCGATCTCTCGTTGTAACTCCGCTGCCTTGGTTGGAGCTGCAGATCTTCCTGAGTTGGTTCTTGGCATCTGCTAGCGTGCGCGCACAAACCTTCTTGTAGCAGCCTTTCTTCTGCTTGTCATACATTCGTTCTATTTTCGGCGAGGTCTTTTCGCTCCCCACTTCTTCGATTATCTTCTCCAGAAGCCGTTGCGCACATGTCCCATCCATCTCGTTAATCTCTGGCATCAGCTTGGAGAGGAGAGCCTTACACAGGCATGCGATGACCCTGGGCCAGGCTAAGCATGTTTAGTCGCTGGAACTCAATTGTGCTTACTGAGGCTCCCCAAGGTTTGCCACGCCCTTGGCGCTCAGCTCTTTCACCACTTCTTCGAAGGGGAGTGAACCCTCTGTGGTCGGTAGATACGCTTTCTCGCATAGCAAGAGACTCCTGGTCGCCAGGCAATAAGTAAACAACCCGCGGAATTGGCCAGTCGAGCGCAACAATACAGCGAATGCTCAGTCCTGGCGGCTCCGATGTATTTTTCGTACTGTGGTTTTGTCCGGGCTTTTGGATGGTCTTTCAGGTCCTTCAATTGTCTCTCGCAGTCGTCTGCAGTGGCAGCCTGGCATGACAGCGGCGCAACCCCAAACCACATCCATCCCCTTTTCCATTCCCAGTTACCCAACCTAGAGGGCATGGATAGGCGACAATGGCAATCACACGAGCCGGCTTGCACAAGACTCAACCGCTATGGAGGCTTCACTCTTTTTGACTTGCATTCACTCCGATTCATACGATCCCAGCGCCGCCCGAACAGCACAGGGCCGCCTGTGTGTTTAGAAAATGGGCCCTTATCCCAGTCATTGCTGCGCGCCCGGAACGATTCATGCCGAAACTTGCGAAACAGCGAACGCCCTCACGCACCAAAGGGAGGGCCTGAGGTTACTTAACCCTGGTGGGTTTGAGTCTGACTGTGAGAATTAATTTGTGACACCAATTAATCTTCCAAGAAGTGGGCCATTGTTCTCGACACCATAGCCAGACATTAGTTAGACCTACCCTGCGTGTTAGCCTTAACTGCCTACGGGTCCCAACAACATCGCCAGCCAAACACTGCTGTGGCCGTGTCGCCGAGCACTTGACATTAGGTTTCGCAGGTCCGGACCCTCGGGACGTCCACTGCTTCCCCTGCTTCCTCGGCATGCAGCGTGGGGAAAAACAACCGCACATATGTTGAAACCTTCCATGCCCTCACACAAGCAATACAAAGAATACTAACAAAGATATTTGTCTAGTGTAAATCATTGAACACCTCTCGCGCCAATCTCTTATGTAACTTGTGTAACTTGATCGTACAGCTTGCATTACAAACCTCTCTTGCATCTTCCTTCTGCGACTTGATCTAGCAACCTTTGCAACCCGCTGCTGCAACTCGCAATTGCAACTCGCTCGTGCTACCTTGCTACTGCTATCTTGCTACTGCAATTCCTTGCTACTGCAATTTCCTTGCTACTGCAACTTGCTAGAGCGCCTTGCTAATGCAACTTGCTAGTGTCATCTTGCTATTGCTACCTTGCTAGTGATTCCTTCCTATTGCAACTTGCCACTGCAACTCGCTAGTGCTATCTTGCTAGTGCAACTTGCTAGTGCTATCTTGCTAGTGTAACTTCCTAGTGCAACTTGCCACTGCAACTCGCTAGTGCTGTCTTGCTAGTGAGAACTTACTAGTGCAACTTGCCACTGCAACTCGCTAGTGCTATCTTGCTAGTGCAACTTACTAGTGCAACTTGCTAGGGCAACTTGCTACTAGTGCAGCTCCCTAGTGCAACTTGCTGGTGCATCTTGCCAATGCTATCTTGCTAGTGAGAACTTGCTAGTGCATCTTGCTAATGAGAACGTGCTAGTGCGACTTGCTAGTGAAACCTGCTCCAGACCTTTCCTGAAGAACCCTTCGCAATGCTTTCGGGAATTACTTTGCTTTCAAAATGTCGGAAATCCGCCGACAGCAGGCGGAGTGTTGGTGCCCGGAAGCGAAAACACGCATGCTGAAATACACCATCGAAGACCCCAAACAGTTTAAGCAACATCTCATGGAGCATCAAAAAGCTGAAGCGGGCAAGATGGGCGCGCTTTGGAATTGCCTCAAAACACTTTGCGCGAAAGATCATGGCCAGTAGACTGGGGCGAGGATATACAAGGACATGCTGAAGCCCAAAGCCCTGAGTTCCATCCCCAGCCTTCTTCTCTATCAGCAAGGGAAACTGCTCCGGGCTCGGAGTGCTTTGAAGCTCGCCAGGTCCGCCATTCACTTGCCACTGAAGCTGCTGCCCTGCCCTCGCGGTGACGTTGTATTCAGCCGAGTTCCGCGAGTCCATGAAATCAAATAGCCTGTCTGCCCAACCGCTGTCATAGTCGATCCGGATTCCCTCTCCAGCAGACGCCTGGATCGGGACAAGCAATACCAAGTGCCCAACAGCAACAACCCGTCCAACCTTGACCAGCCGACATAAGAAATGCTCCTTACCTCTTTACTTGTTACCCCTCCCCTTATTTCTCCCCAAGGAGAACATCAACAAGCAACCGTGCTTCGAAGAATGACATGGCCAAGCCTAATGGCTCTTCAGAGTGCAAAGTATGCTGTTTGCAATCAAGTAAGACTGGCACGCTCGGTTCTTGCGAAGGCTCAACTTGAGGCTGCCTCTTGCCAGGATCTGGCTCATCGTGGCCGTGCATGGTCTGGCTTCTTTAACCACTCGCAACTTCTATGATCTCTGGGCAACCCAAGTATGGCCACGAACACTTAATGCATTCTCAAGCCATTGCCTTGCAATGCTGGCACCGGCCGGAATTTGATGACAAGACGCTTTGCTTGCTTGGCCCGCGCACATGTTTGCACAAGGAGCGCGCCGTCAAGGCAAAAGCTGGCGCCTTTGGCGCGCTTTCAGAAACTTGCCATGAACCAGCGCCCTGAACAAGTGCGTTGCACTGATTGCTCAATGGCATTCCCTCAGGGAGCCACCGTTTTTGGGCGCATGTTTAAAGCAACTGGTTCCAGGATAAACCTGTGAGCTGTAAATGCCCCTCTAGAGACAAAATCCAGCGAGGTAAGCGCTGAACGCCAATCACCATAAGCAGCACCGGCAACATCTCGATGCTGTCTACCAGGGCAGTGTCGACATGGAAAATGATGTCTTGGCTAAGCGCTGGACAAAAAACAGGCAACCAACCCAAGACGCAACCGGAGCGAATCTGAAAACCCGGCATGCCAACCGAAATGTTCTCGCCGCCAGCAACCCAAACAACACCAGCAATCCTTCCAACATCGCTACCGCAACCACCAGCAACGACAGCGCCACAAGGCCCCAGTCCCAACAACAATCACCACCAGCACCAGCAGCACCACCACTACCACGACCACCACCACCACCACCACCACCACCATTACCACTGCCACCACTAGCAGCAGCAGCAACACCACCACCACCAATAGCCAGCTTCATGGCCACCGCAACCCGCAAGCGCAATCACAGCCACCACGACGATCACCGCAACGATTCAAGGACAACAAGAAAGGATCAATTTGGGGAAAAAACAACTCGCATCGCCAATCTGCCAGACATCGATTCTCGCGTGAGTCGCGCCAAAAAACTGTCCACCACCTGGCAACTCCAGCCTTGACTTCGCAGACTGTGCTGAAGTAATGTTTTGGCTTTGCACGCAGCCGGCCTCATTCACTGCGCTGTGTTGTGCCTGAAAACTAACTCTGCCTCTTGATGACTGAGGCCCTGGCTGGAAACTGTGATTCTCAGCGCGTTACTCACCACCACCTGGCACAAGAGGCAATAGCTCGCGAGCCAGGATGGGACAAGTCCATGGCAGCAGGCGACCAACATGGAAGGATGCAGCGGAACACTTGGCTCACTTGAAAGAGAACGGCCTTGTAGTGGAAGGGACCTCCTGGCCCACCTTCTCGCGGTTGCTTCAGCTTCAAGTATACATTTGTGCTTTCCTGCACGGCCGCCCCCTGTCCGACCGCTTGCAAATGCAAAACGGCTGTGTCTGGACATGCGTGCAGCAAGGGCCAGCTACTTAGAGGCTACTGCCAGTGGCTAGTGTTGGTGCGATTTCCAGAAATCGTTCCATTTAGACGCGGGTGAGGGTTCCACAAAAGTCGTTGCAATTCAGTGCTGCCGGCGGGCTTGTATAACAGTTGGGCATGTTGGTTTCGACACATGACTGTTTTCATATGCATCTTGGTTTGGTGGAAGCTGCATGTTCTCCACGGGGTTTCGATATGGCATATTTCACTGGGCTCTTCAAAATGGACATCTTGCAGTAAAGTGGACACAGGGACCGGGCATATCCAAAGAAGGTTCAGAGTAACTTGCGGTGTCACATTTTTTGTCGGTATTCCAATAGGGTCTGCCGAGACGATGCCCTTTTTGCCCTTGCTTCAGCTTAACAGATTATGCTCGTGTTTTAGTGGGACGTGTTTAGGTCATATTCGTGTTCCAATGAGGAATGCATTTTTTCTCGTTGTACCTCGTGGCTTGGGCTACCGTCCATGCTAACGCTAAGATGTAAGAACTTGTCGTGTCTGTGTCCTGACTGGGGATTCCCTCAAAATCAAGGCTCGGTTGGGGGAACGGGGGCCCTCCTCGTCTTCGTCTTCGGTGGCTGACCAACGGCTCATGATTATCTCTTTCACTTCCTTCATTTTCTCCATGACATCCTCTCTGACTTCATTCATTTTCTCAACGAACTTATCCATACAATCTTCACCTCTGTATAAATAGGGCTCACTGCTTCCAGTGATGGCATTGACTACATTAACCATGAAACCACACGGACGGTGATTTTGATATGATGTTGTTGTCGCTTTTGTCGATCTGCTTTAACATCAATGGGCACTGTTAAACATTCAAAGTCTGCATATATGACATAAGGTGCTTTCAGTTTCTTAAAGTGTTTTTCAGTTGTAGCTCCTGCCTCTGGCATCTATTTTTTGTCCTTCAACCGCAAGACAACCCTGTTCTTCGTGTTGCTTTAATAACTCTTCTGACTTGAAACCGTACGTCCTACAGTGATACTTCGGTCTGCCTGATTCGTTGGTTTGGCTTCCCATCAACTTGTTATAGTTCTTGATTTAAACATAGTGCGAGTTGCACTTTTCTCCAGTCAGCTTTATTAAACCAATCTTTTGTTGTGCTTGGGATGTCGCTTCTTTTGTAAAATAAAATTGTTTTACTATTGGCATCAGGATTGTTGTAATAAGCATTGACCGATATGTGTTTGTTCTCTTCTTCAAATTGTTCAATCTCATATTGCCTACAGGAAAGTCGATATTGCCCCATTTAATAAACTTGTCATCAACGTACTTTTTATAATGATACATGTCGCAGGGATGGTCTTTTTTGTATAACTTGTAAAAACCACATTGAGCGGAAGATTTGAAGCACAATTCATCATTGTTTTTAATATTGACACAAGCCGTTTTGTTCGCTACCCAGTCGAGGAATGGAATATAAGAAGAGCCGCGGGTAGGATTGTATCTGTCATAACTTGTCACCAGCCTTTCAACTTGAAGAAGAACCAGACCCGATTGAGCGTATTCGGTTTTTCAATTTGAACCTCTATGTCGTGGGCTAGGTTGTTTAAATCACTGTTTATCTCTTCGGGGTTAAGAACATTGTGTCTCCTGCTTCTCAGCCTTCGTCGTATCTCTTCGTTGTCAGTGTTCTTCAACAACAAACCCGCTTCCGCGATGATTTTCATGTTCGGGCTTCTGTTAAGGAATTCTGTCAGTCGTTGCTTCTGGTATTTTAAGTATGATAAGCCTTTCATCCCTTTCAATCTTATATCAGCCTTTGAATGCTTGTTGTTCGTCGGTGATTTTGGACTTGAATCGCTTGACGTAATCCTGTAAGGGTCTTCCTCATGTGAGTTTGATGTACCTAGCCCCTTTCATTAGAAGACTATGCTTTCTATAGTCATCGCTCCTCACCACTTCCTTGATCTTGGTGTTCAACACCTTCGAAGCGGGTTTGTTCTTATTGTATCTCTAGGTCTTGTCTCCTATTTTGAGTTTTTGCGTTGCCCTCCCTTCTTTTTGTATTAGTTCGCCTTGTTGGCATTTTATAATGAAATCTATGATTTTTCTTCTGACATGGACGCCATATATCTATACTCCATTTTGCATGTAGTAAATATGTCTTTAAGTAGTTTTGGCTAAGGGTTGCCTGTTGGAGAAAGTGGGTCTCGGGTTGAAACGCAACGCATTAGTCTTACTGATGAATTTTAATAAGGTGAATGATTTATCCTTTCATAAAGGGTGGTCTTTGTTTTTATTGCACACCTTGCTTTTCTTGTGTTTGGATAGGTTGGCTTTGCTTGATATCGTCCTTCTGCAGCCCTCGCAGGTGTAAGGCTGTTTTAGGTTTTTGTTGTAGTTCTGGTGGTAGGTCTTCTGCTTGTCCCTCCACCTCATGGGTTGTTCATCGCTGTCGCTTGACATCTGGTTCCGTTCGCTAACCTTTGGTCGTTTTCTGCTTTTATGAGTTCAACCATCATATCAAATTCGTCGTTCGTTATTCTCGGTTTTCGAATACTAATAATGAAATTTCGTGCCATTTTTACTATATAATAGCGTTTTCTATTTAGGTAGTGTTATTTTTTCTTCTTACCTCGGCTACTTTTGGTGACGGTGCTTTCTGGGCTTCTGCTCCTGCTTCTCGTTTCCATTTGTTCCCTTGTCCATTCACTACCTCTTACTATTTCTTCGATTGAGTTTTTGCTCCTACTTGTTGTTTCCATTTGTCTTCTGGTCCATTGATGACATCTTACTCTTTCTTCTGGTGAGTGACTTCTGCTTCTTGCTTCTACCTGTCGTCTTGACCAGAAAGATGCCCTCGGTTGTTCTTCTTCTTGTTCTCGCGATTGTTCTGATGGTGTGGATGACTTCTTTTCTCGTTGGAATAACTCAAACACACTCTTATCTTCTCCACCTAAGAAAAAGTTTCTTAATGACTTTATTTCTTGACTTTCCTCTTTCTTCTCTTCCTCTTTCTCGGTTGATGCTGACGATGAGGATGTTAAATGAAGACTTTGTAAATCTTCCTGCTTTCGTCAGACTGTTTTAAATCATTATCTTTTACATCTTCTGGTTCAACATCTGACTTTTTCTTTTCCTCATTGCTGTCCGTAATTACATCACTGATTTTTTCATCATCTAACTCCTTTACTACATATAGCGTTGTTTGTGCGTCTGCCTCATTGCTTTCATACAACTGTGATGTTGGTGCTACTTCATCAAACATTTCTGGCGACAATTCGTGTAACAAAACTTGTTTATCAGTTTGAACCCTAACATTCAACCGTAGTCTCCTAAAGTCTATATCGTTAATTGATGTGTCAAATGCCATTCTTTCTGGTATGATTTCAATTTTCAATCTGTGCGTCATCGCTTCCCTTAGCATTTCATCACATGTAGGGCGTTTCCTTAACTCGTGTTTAAGTTTGTTAATCATTTTATATAACTATTCACAAATTATAAACATGAACCATTAATCTTTTGTTGCTTTACATTTCCTTTCATAACTCTCCAATCTTCCATTCTTTTTCTAAGCAATTCATCATTTACTTTAGTCATCCATTTTCTACTGTTTATGAGTTCCTCCACCAGTCCAACTAAATAAGTTCTACCAGTTTCCTTTTGACCTTCCCTTTTCTTTGTTTGAGTTTCATAGTGTTGTTCCTGTTCTTCTGTAAGCCCTGCTCCTCTTAAATGTAATTGAAACAGTATGTCTTCTTCTTTTGCTGTGCTTCCTTTCCAATGCTTTATGCTTGTTGAGTAGTCATGGGTCGCGTAAGTCACGCGAGCTTAGCGAAGCGTCCTCTTCTCGTTCTTCTTCTCCTTCCTCTAATGGTTCTAATTCATCATCTTTGTCATTGAATGAACTTCTACACCAGCAGGTGTTGAACTTGACGATGCTTTGTTCAAATCTTCGTGTGTGCTTGGACTGAGTTGTTCCCTTTTTTCTCTGACTCGTCTCTCTTGTTCTTCTAATGATGCTTTGAAAACATTTTCATACTCTTCATATTCTGTCAATGGGCTGTCTGGTGTGGAGAAAGCGGACTTTGAAGAAGACCGGCTGGTTATTCTAGACGACGATGCTGATGTCTCTGCTTCTCTTAAATCCGCCTTTCATCGTTTCCTGATTTAACAATCCTAAGCGGTCCTTGTTGTCCCACTGACTGCCATACTGGTTTAATCTGTATCTCGTCGCCTTTCTATCTATTACATTTTCAATTGACGGACGGTTTTCATCTTCTACGAATGTTTCTAAAATAATAATTCATCATGATTTTAATGAACCTATCGCAAATGGTTTGGTTGTACTCAGTCTGTTTATTGATTTAATCATATTATATTATTTAGAAAACTTGCTTGCAGCTAAATCTTTTCTATAGTTTATTCATGCTCCCTGTGAGTGTCTTGCTTCCATTGTGTGTTTTAATTGTTTGAAATAATTCTTTCTTGAAGCAACGCCCCAACAAATCATTTGAGTCGTAGGAACGTTCTACTTGTGGCGCCCTTTTAAGTTCAACATTTCTATGACTTCTCATAAGCATAAATGATATATATTTTAACTAGATTATTATTTTTAACATCGAGAAAAGTTAATTTATTTGTTTTATCTGATTTATCTTGCTTTTTCTTTTGTTTAAATTCTTCGTAATGTAGGGTTAGTAGTTCTGTCGCCGTGGGTTTCTTAACGGTTTCTTTAATCACTTCTTGTTTAATCTCATTCTTAGGTTGAATCTGTCTAATATTCTTTTGTGGATTGACTGGTAAAAACTCAGTAGGTGCCCCTTTACAGTTTTTAGGATGTGAGTGTCTCAAGCTTTTCAATGTCATCTTTTTAGAGCATTGTTCACATTCTACTAATTCAACTTCTTTTTGAGTTCTTGGTAATGCTTTTGCTTTTGGCTCAGGTTTGTCTTCGCGTTCTTCTGGTTTAACTT